TTTGTTACATGGGGGGGCGGGGGGGGGGGGCGGTCCATAAATGAACTTAAAAACTCTTAAAGTCACAAAAAGATTTACTCACTACCAAGACAAATGCTACAACAATGTCTTAGAAACCAGCAAGACATGTTCACAGAGAATGTAAGCCTGTAGTATGGTCTGGCATGGTTCTGATGTTGCCATCTACTCAGGGTACCCATCCAAGTTCTGCAACCCATGCCAATGCAAACTGGAATCTGGCCACTGGGCAAAATGTGCCCACTCCAGAGTATCAAAGGTCATAAACATCTGTTCTTGCATATAAGGTTTTCTACTGTTTAATTTCCCTGCAAACAGGTACTGGCTATGTATGAAATTTCTGTGATGGCATTGTCTGGGATTTTCAAGTGTGGTATAACTACTGGTAGATCTACTTGCAGCCCTACATCCTGTCCCCTGAAAATTCATTAATTAGAAAAAAGAAAGGTCTTTAAGTCTTATATCTAATTGAATGCCTGATTATAAACTAAAAGAAATATTTTGTATATGCTGAATATTTTAGGCTGAAATAAGAGCTCAAAGTGACTTCTTCAATTATGATGAAAAATGTTTTTCTTTATTAAATTTGAATACTTACAAATAAAGCCAACAAATTATAAACTTAAATATAAGCTTAATGCCTTGACTGGTATGGCTTAGTGGACTGAGTGTTGGCCTATGAACCAAATGGTTGCCAGTTTGATTCCCAGTCAGGGCACATGCCTGGTTGCAGGCCAGGTCCCCAATAGGGGGCACATGAGAGGAAACCACACACTGATGTTTCTCTCCCTCTCTTTCTCCCCCCTTCTCCTCTGTCTAAAAATAAATAAATAAAATCTTTTAAAAAATAAGCTTAACAAGTAATATATAAAATCTGTGTGATTAACTCTATTGTTTAAAAAAACAAATTCCCACAAGACCCAAAAATGGCGTTAAACAAAGAGCAAGATATCCCTTGTTTCTGGTTGAGATGTTTCAACATCATTAAAATGTCTGCTCTCCTTAAAATAACTTAAAAATTAACTATAGTCCCAATAAATATAGGAAAGGTTTTTTTTTCCTGGTGTTAAATTGAGCTGATAATAAACTCATTTTGAAAAATGAGACGGGACTAGCCTCACCAGATATTAACACATACTCAAAGCCTCTATAATTAAAACAGTGAATTATTAGAGCAGGAACAAACAGACCAATGGAACAGAACAGAAACCTCAAAAAAAACACAGACCCACATAGTGCTCAATACTATAAAATAATCAATCACTTCCCAAAGTATTATATAATATTAATACAATTTCAATCAGAATACTAATAAATCTGGAAGAGAAAAAACTGACAAACTGAGATAAATTTCAATAGTAAGAAATAAAATCTATGAGATGAGACATCTCCAGTAAGAAATTTTAAAGAACAGCAAGGAAACACTGGCCCTATTATAAAATATGTAATAAGAGATAGATAAAACAAACTTGAATCTATAACACATGAAACTGCATGGAATATACTTTCACGGATCTCTACAGAATATTGATGTAACAGTCTGGGAGAATATGTTAAATTAATAACAGTGGTTAACAGTGAGTAAAAAGGGATGATCTGAGGAACCTTAGTTTTGTTTCCATTGTAATTGTATATCTACGACAATTCCTATTGCAATAAAATAATTTTTAAGATTTAAAAAACTGGGAAGAAGCAAAAAGAATACAGTAGCGTACCTTTGTTACGCCATTTTACAAAGGACTTCATCATAAGTACTTCTAACTGCAGATTTTATTTGGGGATTTTGACTGTGTAATGAAGAGGTGGGGTTCCAAGAGGTGTGCAATACCAACCAGCAGCCTTCAACTTGTAGCTGAACCTAAGGTTCCCCAGGGCACCTTAAGAGATTTAATGTGGCCTTCTCCCCCCACCTTACTCACAATTACCTGATTTTTCTTATATTATTTAAGGTCGCATTGTGTAACATTTAATTTAAAGAAAGGGTTCTGTCACCTAAATAAGTTTGTAAACCACTCACCCAGAAGACTAGCAAGAGAAATGTTATGTTAAAGGCAATTAATACTCATTAATGAACTCTAAAACCTATTATATTAGCAAACATTTAGTCCCATTTTCTAAATGCAAAGAATGTCTGACAGATAGCTAGCATAACTCCCGCAGTGCCTTAACTGGGTAAGAATTCCTCTTACCTAGAAGCACTATACAATTACTGTCTTTTATGTCTTGTTTTGTGTCCCAAAATAGTATTTTTTTAAAATTCTAAGCTAGGTAGATAATGCTTTCCAAATTACATCACTCTCATTAGACTTTTGCTTTTCAAGGAGCAAGTACTACATTTAACTAGTTTTTCAGGTAAACAGGAACTCGGGAGATTGCATGATCTGATTTTTCTGCCCACTGCTACTTGAAACATCCCAGATTCACTACTTTTTTCAGCATTTATCTTTATTTGAGCAGTACGCAAAACTTTCTAGACTTTTTAAATGCCAAGGCTTGTGCTCAGTACTCAAGGGAGAACCATACAATCAATGATTCAGGCAGTACAAAATTTTAAGTCAAATAATAAAAACAGCATAACAGATTACCTGAACACCAGGTCTGCAGAGCTCGAAGAAGGGAAAGATCAGAGTTCAGGGAGGAGTAATAACAGGCTGCTGAGGGGATGCAAGACTTGGTCTGGGGACAGACGGGCTTGCCCAACTATCGCACTGGGAGCATATACATTTATCTAAAACTCACAGAACTGTACGCTAAAAATGGTGAAATGCACTTTTTCAGTTATATCCAGAGTAAAAAATTTATATTTCCAGTTATAAAATTATCTGTTATACCCATTGCAGCACTATTTGTAAAATTTAAAAATCAAGTTTTTTAAATAATAATAAATATTTAGCCCTGGCTGGTGTGACTCAGTGAATTGAGCACCAGCCTGTGAACCAAAGGGTCACCAGTTTGATTCCCAGTCAGGGCATGTGCCTGGGTTGCGAGCCAGGTCCCCAGTAGATGGTGCTTGAGAGGCAACCACACATTGATGTTTCTCTCCCTCTCTTGCTCCCTCCCTTCCCCTCTCTAAAAAATGAATAAAATCTTTAAAAAATAATAATAAATATTTAGTGAACACTTAGGTACAGGGATATAATTATGTCTAACATCAAACATTAAGGGCTACAAACATCCAAAATTATTTCTGGAAGACAAATTGATTTGCACAGATCGGAATGTAAATAAATGCAATCTCTCAGCCTATAATAAATGAATGTATAGTCTACTTGCAAAAACATCCAATGAACATTTGAATACAGACACAGCATTCTGTTCTGCAAACTTAATCATTATTGACTGACCTTTCCTGGTATTTAAGTTCATGAAAATGCAGAAGCCTGAAGCCTGGCGTATTCATGGCCATCCCCACTACCCACCACTGACACCAATGTGTGCTATGCTCACAAACTCTCTCCTGAGTAACTGTTGATTTAACTTTTCTGCATACATTTTCTAGCAGTAAGGCAAGGTACAGAGAAAAACCTACTTATGGAAAAGCTCATATCCTTCAATAATCAGAAAGCAAAAACAAAAGTGGAGGCCTTTTTCTGAATATTGCAAATTATAAAGACCTTAAAGGAAAGACTAATAATAAATCCTAAATTCCTATATGACAAAAGTAAAAAATATATATGTAAATCACTATTAAAATGTTTTCAATAAAATGGGGGATAGGATTCTTGCAATACTTGTAGACAAAAGACAAATACTTTTGTCTTTGTTTACCTTTAATATTCAAAGAACGCCTCCCAATACCTAAAAAGATAAATAACCAAGTAGAAAATGAACAAGAAATTTACAGAAGGGTTACAGATAATGAAAGCAAACATAATCTCAAATTCTAAATCTTTCAAAATGGAGACAACGAAATATAAAATGTTGAGAGAAAAAATGAAGGGGAAAAATATCCCTCATAATCAGTGCTGCCAATGGCATCTGGTTCTTTCTTTTACAACTTAGTAACAGCTTTTTTGAATGGCAAGGAAGCATTTTCAATGTCTAAAATGTACATACCATTTCACTTCCAAGAGGTTATGCTTGAAAAGTATTTACACAGCACAAATATATGCATAGATCTTCTATCAGCATATATGTAATTACAAAAAACCCTAAACATCTAAAAGTCTATCAACAGGAGAATGGAAAACGAAATCACCATGCATCTATGCAAATACAAGAGCTGAAGAGTCGCTACAAGAATGAAGTCACTCTACTCGTGGGGAAAGATGCTAAAGACACACTGTTAACTGCAACAAGCATCTGCAAAGTAACACGTGCAGCCTGCCACTGTGCATGGACCAGTCCTGGATGGCACATAAGCCAAAGTGTGGACAAAACAAACATACTCTATCTGATCAGAGTAATTACATATGGGTTTGGAATGAAGGAGCAAAGGGGATGATATTCATTTCCTATGTTGTACATGTCCTTATTTTGAGTTTTATTTTGTAATGGTAATGTTTTACTTCTGAAATCAGTGATAATGAAAAGAACTTATGGAAGATGTTTTTAAAATGCAAAGCTTTGATTCTCTCCGGTACATAAACTGCCTAGGTCCAGCAGAATCCCCACCAGAATGTAACTGTTCCCCAGATCCCAGGGTCTCCTCAGATACAGGGCATGCGGGGCACTCGGGATCTCAAGGCAGGAGCATGCCACAGCAAAATGCAATTTCAACAACACGAGTGTTTCTAAATTTCTTCTAAAATAAAAAGAGTGAAAAAGCAAAAAAACTCATAAAAATATAAAATCAAAAGAGAATCACTGATTAAATAAATTATTATCCCTTGCTATTTTTTTTTGCATTTCTGAAACTGGAAGAACTTTTGCCTTTTAAACTTTAGCCTAGAAGTTGTTTCTCCCATATGAGGAAAACAGTGTTTGAGTTTCAAGATATGGTGCATGTTTTCATAGGACTTGAAACTCAAAAGAAAACATACCTTCGGAGAGCATTTCTGGAATGTCTGCTTGATATCTAGGTCCCACTCTGATTTCACCTTTGTCAGCTAATAGTGTTTTCACTGAGGGGTCATAGACCAGTGAGTAGAAAAAGCTATCCTGAAAGAAAATGACAAAATATCTAGGTAAACTTTTTATAAAACAATAAATTCAATGTCACAATAATGAAACCATAAAACTTCAGAGAGTGTATAAAATTTTGTTTTAGTGAATAAATTCATATATGTTTAAGAACATGAAGGTATTGCCATCATGTAAAATAGTGTAATATTACATCTAGCCAAAACAAATAGCTTACAATAAAAGCAGTTTATTATGATTTATTTTTTCGTTTTAGTCTAAAAGAAAACCATTAGTTGCTCTAAAACAGGGTTTTGAAAAGCAAGCAAAGTGAAGCTGTAAGTCAAGGGTAAGACACCTAAAATCAAGTGATCATCTAAACCTCTGAATCCCACACTAAAGTATGAACGCCTTCATACGTATCGGGCACTTAGTTTTGGGGTGTCCATCCCAAATTGTGTTAAAATAGTAAGATGTACACAATCCACATTATATATACATCTACCAATTATAATTCTGCAGTTCTCTGAAACATTTATATGTATGTGTAGATAGGTATAGAAACATAAACTATACATACCCACCACAAGCACAGTTCACTAACTATCCTGCTCCCTTAAAATGCAAAAGAGCCCTAGTTACTGAGCCTAGTGGATAAAATGACCTGGCCACCAGTCCTTTGCTGAATTCTGCATAATCAATGGAGGCCATGTGAACCAGTCAAGTCTTGTCCCTGCTTTCCAATATGATTTTGAGGGTCACTTACAGCACAACTCTCTGTATTAGGATGTCCTGGAAGGACCTAGCCTTACCATCAACACTTTACTAAGACCCAGCCAGGCAAGATGCTAATGAAGAAATGACCTGTCAGATTATAAAGCTTTCTCCTCTCAAGGTCCTATGGACTGTGACAACAGGAGAGAAAACCAGACAAGAAGATACTGAGAAATTCCTCACAGTGTTTTAATCATGGGTCACTGTCAGGAGAAAACATTAAACAGTAAAACTCTTCATAAGTCACACCATCATTATGTGACCATTTACGCAAGTAAAAAAATGCTATCTAAGGAAAGGAAAAAATTTGCAGTATAACCCAACCTGTTTAATAGGTTGGGGCGGGGGGCAGGGATCACGGTCAGTATATAATCCGAGTTACTGTTTCTTTGTTTTTTATGACCAGAGCAACAAAGAATGTTACTAGGTAACCAATACTATTGTCACTGGCTCACCATTACTGTTAAAAGCAGATACACTTCAGGTCACTTTCAGTCTGTAAAATGTTAGTGCAGTATTGCCATACCTTACTGTAAAATGAAATAAAATTATTACTTAGGGCCATTTAAATTGCTTAAATTTCTTAGATATATAGGTACTGATGTGGGAAAAGATTCAAAATGTATTTAGTTAAAATAGAAATTAAAAAAAAAACACAAGGGGAAAAGTGTTCTGAGAATTGTTTAATCTGCCAATTTCAAGGACAGTTACAAAGTAAAAAATGATCAGAAAGTTGCCTTCAAGTTACCATCTTCAAATATGCCAAATTCGATTATTTTAATAGGACTAAAAAATTTTCTCAAGGACAGTCTTATAATGGTTAATGTAGCAAATCTAAATACAAAAGTGTTTTCCAAATTGTGTCAAGAATATAATGTCGGCAGTTTTATTTTTCCTAAATTGCTCTTTTTTGCCACCAAAAACAAAAAAGAAAAAAGATTTCCTTAAATATACTTTATTTATTTAAAGTTCCTATCTTTTAGATTGTTTCTATCTCAAAGATTGATGAAAAATTAAGTGGTGAAAAAACCAAGAGTAGAGAAAAAAATCCTAAAGATCTTTGCAAATTTTCACCTATTACAGTCCTTAGCATATCCAAATTGCTAATAATAACTTAGAAGGCAAAAAATATCATATTTTGAAAAATTCCACTCCTCCAAAAATACCAGTAAAACATACTGAAATATACTGAATGCTTCCTCCTTTTATTTCTACATCTGTGCTAATTTCTAGCACTATCATTATCCGTATTATTATCGACCATTCTGTTGGACACACTGACAACAAAGTCAAGTACCTTCTTTTCTAAATTCCATAAGCCTAAGTTTTAAAGACTATTAGCCTTCTTTCGGCCTTGAATATTTTAGTTTTCTTTATTAGAGTTTCTGATGTATAGTAGTTCTAGACATTTTTATCTGTCTTTTCAGTTACGTTTTCTTCATTTGAGATAGGAGGATAATACTTAAGAATGATAAAAAATATGTCCCTTTATTTAAAAAAAAATATATATACACACAATAAAGGCTTGGGAAAAAAAAAACATCATGAAAATATAAAGGTTAAATACTGAAGTACCATCAACAGTAAAATATTTTCCCATCATACAAATGCTAACAAGTCATTTCAAACTGTGGAATACTCTGGTTATAACCATTTCCTCCCTATACTTAATTCAACTTACTAAAAAATGTTAAAATGTTTCTTGTTGAAGTTTACAGAAAGAAATATTTTTTGTTGACAAAGTTATTAGGGTTCCAGGAAAGAAATCAGACCACCAATGGTAAAATCTCATCTGGAGTCTAAAAGAAAAGCTATGTATTAAAAACCAAACAAACTAAAGACAGGAGGACCAATTACAGTAAAGTCATTTTTCATAAAGCCAAAAATATTTCTTCTACTACCAGCAAAATCATGTGCCATGCTTTACAAAGCTTTTCTTTACCAACTGAAGAGAGACAGGCAGACACAAGAGTGTTTGTCCACTCTTGTCTCAGTTCACCAGAAAAATCAAATTGTCCAAATGCATTCCAGTTATGATACTTCTACTATTATCCCACTGTGGCAGTGTAGTAATTCTGTACAAACAGAAATAAATTCAAAGGTATGGGTTTCATGTGAAATAAAAGAGAAAAAAGACAATACAAGTATAATGGCGAATTACCTCTTTATCAAGATATGACAATACTGACTCTGTCTCATTCAGAAGGGCAACAGTGCATTTCCCCCTGTTAAAAAAGCGAAAAAAAAAATGAATAAATAAACATTTAAGAAAGGTGACTTCACCTTCACAGTGATGATGTATACTATACAAAGTAAGGAATATTCCAAAAGTAAAGTTGGTATTAAGAATCCAAATGGCAGTTAGGAATATATATAAATGTATATATAATCCTTTACACTCCTGGTGTTGAGTAACCTAAAACAAAAGACTGTCTTTATAGACATTTATTGAGAGGCTAACCTATGGAAGAAACTGTGTTAGGCAGTAAAAACTTCTAACACAAAGCACTTTATAGTTAATTCCTAATTATTCAAGAAAAAAAAGTACAGTGAAACCTTCAGATTAAGTCCATTTCTGACTCTATGAATAAATATGAGGTGATTTTATATTTTCCAGACAAAGACATTATGCAAACCATGAAAACCAGTGCCTAATATAACCTTCAGATTTTTAAAGCAGCCACTGCATATAAGAACCTAAAAACAATACACATTCATATCAGGATTAACTGACTTACCTATACTGAAATTGCTCTAAGACTAGTTAAAATTTAAACTCAAGGAACTTCTACAGAGCAAGGGGCAAAATAAAGATCTATAGTCTTGCGTGGACCTTGACATCTGATGGCGATTACCTTTGACCCTAAGCCCTGGGTGTGAGTTTGGAAATTGATGCCATTAAAAAGGGCTTGTCTGAACTTGAGAAATAGTAAGGTTAACCAGGAAGAGGAAATTATTACAAGCACTTTTAAAATTATCCTCACTAGCTTGAAAATTTCAATGTAGCTACAAATTTGACAGGAGAATTTTGACAGACTATTCAAGTTATAGATTTGTCAGGGCTCACAAAAATTTTCTAAATGTCACAGTGTTTTTTGATTTTCTAAACAGAAGTTACTACTTGCTCTGTACAAAATAACAAGCAAAATCAAACACATCACATATGCATTAAGAAGACATGCTGCTGTTGGATTATCAGAGCGAAAAACACTTCATCATGGGGATGGAAAGTACAGCACAGGGAATATAGCCAATAACAGTGTAATAACTATGCATGGTGCCAGGTGGGTACTGGAAATATCGGAGGGATCACTTTGGAAAGTATGTGACTGTCTAACCACTAAGCTGTACACCGGAAACCAATACAAAATAATATTGAATATCAACAGTAATTGAAAAATAAAATTAAAAAAGAAAAACAATTCAGAGAACAAAATTACCAAAAGCAAAATAAAATACCAAAAGTAAAATATTAACACATAGGTAAAAAAATAATTATAGTTCTCTAAACATGTTTACATTATATTCCTCAAATTTAAAAAAAAATCCTCTCATAAAAACATCTTTTTCTGGTAATCACCTTAGATTAATATCACTATAAAAGAGTTCTCTGACAGCAGACAGCATACAAAATACCCTTATTATCAAATCTCTATTTTGATTACCAAAGGTCTTCTGTTTTTCTACTTCATTTTATTCATGCATGTTAGTGAAGCAGAAAAATTAACATTATTACTTCAGTACACATAACGACACTAAAGTCAACACTTGGCTGACATTTACACAGGACAGAATTACAGGCAGGGAAATTGGGTCTGTTGCTGTTAGCCTACCTACAGCTGCCACGGACGCTATGACCTGTGAACATGTGCTCACACTGCAGCGTGCCTCAGTAATAAATGAAGTTTCCAAAAGTTCCATTTTTTTTGCCTCAATAATAGCAATGAAGCAATATTTCTAACATTTAATACTTAATCACCTAGAAGAAATAAAATCTTTTAAGTTCTCAAAAATTGTGTTTTTTTAATATATATTTTATTGATTTTGCTATTACAGTTGTCCCAATTTTTCCCTCCTGCTCCCCTTGGCCCAGTACCCCCATTCCCTCCAACAATCCCCTCCCTTAGTTCATGTCCATGGGTCATGCATGTAAGTTCTTTGGCTTCTCCATTTCCTATTCAGTTCTTAACATTCCCCTGTCTGTTTTGTACCTAACAATTGGGACTTTTTAATTCCTGCACTGTTTTCCCCATTCTCCCATACTCACCCTCCCATCTCTTCATTTTTAAATTTTGGCATTTTAATTATGATGTGTGTTGGAGTGGGCCTCTTTGTGTCTATCTTGTTTGGGACTCTCTGTACTTCCTGGACTTGCATGTCCATTACCTTCACCAAATTAAGGAAGTTTGTTTTCATTATTTTTTTCAAATAGATTTCCAATTTCTTGCTCTTTCTCTTCTCCTTCCCGCAGCCCTATAGATCAAATGTTGGATTAAATAAAGCCTGGAACAGGCTGCTTACACCATCTTCACTTTTATGGATTCTTTTTTCTTCTTGTTCTGATTGGTTGCTTTTGCTTCCTTATGTTCCAAACCATTGATTTAATTCTCAGCTTTATCCACACTACAGTTGTTTCCCTGTAATTGTTCTTTATTTCAATTAGTGTATCCTTTGTTTCCGACTGGGTCTTTTTTATGCTGTTAAGGTCCTCCCTAAGTTCCTTCAGCATCCTTCTAACCAGCGTTTTGAACTCTGCATCTGATAGATCACTTGTCTCCATTTTGTTTAGTTCTTTTTCTGGGGTTTTGATCTGTTCTTTTCATTTGGGCCATGTTTCTCTGTCTCCTTGTTTTGGCAGCCTCCCTGTGTGTGTTTCTATGTATTAGGTAGGGCTACTTTAACTCTCTGTCTTGGTCGTGTGGCCTAATGTAGTAAGTGTCCTGTAGGGTCCAGTGGCACAGGCTCCCGTCACCCAAGCTGGATGCTTGAGTTGCGCCCACTGTGTGAGCCAAGTGCACCCTCCTCTTGTAGTTGAGCCTTGTTTGCTGCTAGCAGATTAATGGGAGGGACTTACCTAGGCCAGTAAGTTACAAGGAATGGCTTTGACCACTGACCACCAACCTTCGCCCTCTGGAGAATCAGCTGTTCAGGGACAGGATGGTGGTGTTCTAATGTGCTCTGTAGATGTCCATGGGGTGCACTAGCCCTGGGGTTTCCCATGTGGTGCAGGCCAAGGTTGGCCCCCACCTGTGTTTTTTGCTTAGTTTGTTTTTAAAATTCAGCTGTTGATAGTTGTGAATTTCTTGCCATTTTAATGCTCATAGTTTTGATCTTCTTTTCTTAAATATTTAACATTTCATATAATAATGGCTTGGTGATGATTAACTCCTTTAGTTTTACTTTGTCTGGGAAGCCTCATCTGCCCTTCCATTCAAAATGATAGCTTTGCTGGATAGAGTAATCTAGATTGTAGGTCCTTGGTTTTTGCTTTTTATCATTTCAAATACTTCTTGCCAGTCCTTTCTAGCCTGTGTCAGCTGACAGTCTTATGGGAACTCCTTTGTAGGTAACTCTCTGCTTTTCTCTTGCTGCTTTTAAGATTCCCTTTATCTTTAACCTTTGGCATTTTAATTAGGATGTGTCTTGGTGTGGTCTTCTTTGGGTCCATCTTGTGTGGGAATCTCTGTGCTTCCTGAACTTGTATGTCTATTTCCTTCACCAAATTAGGGAAGTTTTCTTTCATTGTTTTTTCAAGTAAGTTTTCAATTTCTTGCTGTGACTATTCTCCTCCTGGCATCCCTATGATTTGAATGTTGATACATTTGGAGATGTCCCAGTCTCCTTATTCTATCCTTGTTTTTCTTAGTTCTTTTTTTCTTCTTGCTGTTCTGATTGAATGCTTTTTTCTTCCTTATGTTCCAAATTGTTGATTTGATTCTTGGCTTCCTTCCCTCCACTGTTGGTTCCCTATAGATTTTTCTTTATTTTGCGTAATGCAAACTTCATTTCTTCCTGGGTCTTTCTTATGCTGTTGCAGTACCCAATGATTTCTTTAAGCATCCTGATCACCAGTCTGCATCTGATAGGTTGCTTATCTCCATTTCATTTAGTTCTTTTCATTGAGTTTTGCTCTCTTCTTTCATTTGGGCCATGTTTCTTTGTCTCCCCATTTTTGGCAGCCTCCGTGTTTGTTTCTGTGTATTAGGTAGAGCTGCTTTGACTCCCTGTCTTAGTAACGTGGCCTATTGTAGGAAAGGCACTTGTAAATTGTGTGGGGCAGAGTCTAGGTAATTGCCAGGGTGGGGAAACCCATTGCATCACTTTGTGGCTCTGTGGTGGGGGGAGTCGAGAGCTGGGGAGGGGGGGGGGTAGTTGGCTTGGAGAGGGGACAATACCATTACCTGGCCTCTGGAGAGTGCCCAGGATTGGAAGCTGTCTCCTAGCACTTGCCCTGCTGCCAGTTACCTCACTCTTCTCTCTCCTTTACCCCACATAACCCTTGTGGCCTTCCAGCTATTGCCCTAGTGCTGAATCCCAAAGGGTGTGGGCCTGCATGAGTCCTAAGTCTGTTGTGGGCCCTTTAAGTAGAGTCTCTTGAGAATCCCATAGTTTCTTCTATCACCCCAAAGCCCACTGGTTTTTACAGCCAGAAGTTATAGGGATTTATCATCCTCATACTGAAATACTGGGCTGGGTGGTCTGTTCTGTGGCTGGGATCACTCACTCCTTAGGAATCCCTCCCAATTTTTATCCACCACATGTGAATGTGGGACCACACGTTCGGCCACCTCTCCAAGTCTCCACCCCTCCTAACCATCTGGATGAATGTAGCTTCTTTAACTCCTTGGTTGTCAGACTTCCATACCGCTCAATTCTTTGACAAATCTGGCTGATACTGGTTTTGAAGTCTAGTTGTAATTTTTGCTATAGTTGTGTGCAGAGGCAAAGTGTGTTTGACTACGCTTCCAGCTAGACTGGAAGTCCAAAAATTGTGTTTCTTTAAAATGGAAGTGTAAAAGGTACTAAATGTTATTTTAATATATCCCTCTCTGTTTAATAGTCACTTGAATGTTAAATGCTAACAGACACTGAAAATTTATCTAGCCAATATAACATACTTAAAGTCTTCTCCATAATCTCTGAAATGACAAGAGAATTTAAACAAATCATTAAAAATTATTTTAGGAGATTCATAATTATATTAGGACATTTAAAAAACACTGTT